GTTTCTCTCTCTCTCTCTCTCTTCCTTCTGGCACTGTGACGTCATTGAGTGGTCAGCGATCCCGACAGTATGCAGGAACTGAATACTCGCTCGGGGGTCCTTGAAGAGTAGGCTACATAAGTATTACGATGGGTTGCTTAAATGTCCCAGCAACCTGTACAGCTGCTCTGAAAATGAACAATAATTTATGATTATTTCTTGTGCATTGGCAGGTATTCAGGTGCTGGAGAAACTAATGACTGACCACGCTATGTCTGTGCGGGCCTGGAGGTTGCCCAAAAAAGCTGGGAGGAGGCTTATCAGAGACTCCTTAGTTGAAATGAGGAAAGTTCTAGTGGAGAGGAGCGTGGTGCTGTGCAACAAGGACAATACCTACATGTTACTGGATGAGGTCAGTCCAGTTACTAACCAACCATTGACCTGCTGAACAGATGTATCATTATGCCTAAACTTGTTGTGGGTTGTTTGTTTGTTTTTTTTGTGTTTTTTTGGGGGGGGTGTTGGGGTTGCGGATTTTTTTTTTTCAATTTGTAGTTTCATATTATTTTTATGTGAGGTACCATGCTGGTATTCATTACATGTAGGTCTACTCGGGAAATATTCTGTCAAAATTCAGATTGAAATGTTGAAACAGTATAGGAAAAGATACATTATGTAAGAACAATTTCTAAAAGAATGAAACAGTTTTTCCTTTCTCCTGAAAAAAATGTAATGCTTTCTGGGTTTTAAACATTTCAACAGCTTACCAGTGTGATATCTTTAATTATAAGCCTATATTGTGAGCCCTTTTGCTCTCTCAGCCAGTGGATGAAAAATAAAACATGCTAATATAGATCTGTACAGCACAAATAGCACAAACTGTTGTAAGAGAACAGTTACCACTTTGAGCTATTTATAAACTGAATCTTATATTGTTGTACCAGAATTGATCTCTCTATGATTTGATTTTTAGTGTTTTAAGTTAAATAGAGACAACAAAAAACTCTTTGTAAATTTATTCTTATTGTTTTCAAGAAAAGAACAGCCTTCATGAAAGCTGAATATTGTTTTTAGGGGAACAGAACCCACGTGATGTAGGCCTATAGATCTTTATAAAAATTTATTGTTTTAAAGGGAACAAACAGCCTTCATGAAAGCTGTAAATTTACAAATTCTTATTGTCTTTTGGGGAACGTTACAGAACCTACATAAAGTTCTTCGTGAATTTATTGTTTCATGTTGTCTCAGAACTATAACTATTTCATCCTGTTTCAGATATTATTCTTTTTGTTTTTCCTACCCCCAGGCCCGTAACTTGGCGATGTTGTCCACCCCTCCACATGCCTGGATGTTCTACGATCCTGTAAGTCTGTGTATCTCTTTTTCCTTTTTTAATCAGAAAATTTCTGAAAGACAAAAGGAAAACTGAATTGCACGACATAGGTTAAAATTAAAAGCAAAGAAATGGAACAATGGGTGTTCAAAAATGTATGAGGAAGGCAGTGTATTTTATCAGAATAAACCAGAATGTGTGTAGACTAACTGTCAAAGTTCATCAGATTCTTTGTTTAGCCCCCTTTTTTCGCCTTAATCTTTTGTAGTTCTTGGGGGTTTTATTGGTGTTTATTTTTATGCTCAGGAAAAAAAATATTAGATCTAGCTATTATTTTTTAAAAACGTTTGCTGCTGACCAGACTTTCCTAATCATTTTTAAAGCATGAAGTAAGCACTGAGTAGTACCTTTACATGTAACATCCAATGTTGGAAAAAAAACAATTGTCATGTAGAAATTATCTTTGCATTTACCTGTGACCTTTGTCTTGCAAGATGTTGTGAAAAGTATTTTGACCATTGATTTAGTGGAGTATTTTTTTAAAATGGTTAATAACTGTTGATTTTGTGGATTGTAAACAAAAAGTAGATTGTTATATACAATTGATTTTGTAAAGTATTCGTTGTTTGTTGATTTAATAAAATGTATTTGTTAAAACTTTAGATCTATCGATGCTCTCTTGTCACACATCATTATTACACTTTCCGCAGGGGGACGAGATGAAGAACATTTTTAACCGGTACAACGACATCGCAGTCAACTTTACCGTCCTTTCTTTGCTTCCATACAACACTTCACTCATACCTAAAAGTAAAGGTCACAATTATGACCTTGCCTTAGCGAAAGACTCCCTCCAGCTGGTGACCTCATTAACGAGCATCATTCAGGAAAGTGCAAGCAAAGCAAGCATCACACTCACAGACAAAAGCTACCGAAACCAGCTCAATCTGGCTATTAGAAATGTGAGTCACTCCGTTTTTCAGTCTTTTCTTTGGCTGGTTGTTTTTCTTTCTGAGGTAAAAGTATTTGGAAATAGAGAGGGGAAAAATCATCTGAAAACTCAGAACCTCACATGCCTTTTTGGCATATCTTTTTATTAATTTTTCTTGCAATCAGTTGCCAGTCATTTTTAACTTTATGAAACTACATGTCACTTTTGATTTTCCAAATTAAGTATGTATATTATAGGTGTTTGAGCGTTAGGTGTGTGTGTGTGTGTGTGTGTGTGTGTGTGTGTGTGTGTGTGTGTGTTCACGTGTGTGTGAGGGTTCATGTGTACATGTGTGTGTGTGTGTGAGACATTGTGTGTATGTGTGTATGTGTGTCAGTATTTGTGAGTGCATGAGTGTGTGTGTTCACTCATGTCTGTGATTTGGTATTGCCGGAAAAGCTTCAATGTAAAACAGAATGCTGAGAGCTGACAAGACAAAATCATTGCTAATTGTCTACTTTACATTATGTAGTAATAAGAAACTCTATGACTTATGTTGTTTATAGTTTTAAAAAATTGTTTGAGTTTGACACTTTTTCTCCGCATTACTGTCTGCTCACTGAATGTCACATGATATAGCCATTTGCATGTCTTCAACTGATATCATCTGTATTGTAAACAATTCACTTAAGTCCATTTGGGTACATCAGAGACAAAGAAATAGTTTTTATTGCATTGTTCCTTTCAGGAATCATGAAAACCAAGAGAATTGTAAGCCTTGACCATAGGCTTAAACTGCATTTTGATGATGTTGAAAAGTGCATCTTTGACAGAATTTTAGGAGAGTGTGAAAATTGAAAATTTTAAAAATTTGGACTTGTGTGGATGTGTAGGCCTACAACAGTGATGATATTATTATCACTTTTTCTCCAGAATGAAGAGACGGGCTTGACGGGGTACCTCGAGTTTAACGAGCACGGCAGACGACAGAACTACAGCCTTACTCTAACCACCATCACCGGCAGTCACACGTACTTAGTGAGAAACAAAACCTGGGGCATAATATTATAAAACGTTACAGTGTGACCTGTTCTACTTTTGAAAAGTACTAATATAAGCAACATTATATATTATTTTTTTCTTCACAATACATAGGCCAAGACCAGAATTAATTGTTTACTTTCTGTTGCTTACATGATATCCATCTTTTAAGGAAACTTTTTCCAAATTAAATGTAGTCCACTTGGGGGGGGGGGAGGGTTTTTGTTTATTTTCTTCTGAAAAGGGCTTGTTTATGTCTACATCAACAAACTTTTGACTACCAGTTGGATATATTTCAAAAGCCTGTTGTTTCATTTTTGTACAATTTGTAACAAGGAGAATAATACTCTGAAAAGAGCCTGAGGAATACAGAATTAATTTAATTAAAAGAAAACAAATTGCTACCCTATAGTTACAAAGTCCTTTGTCTGCTTAGTACCTATAGTTTTTGAGAAATTTACCATCAACATTTTTGAGTTTCTGATTAATTCAAGCTTTTTCAAATGCAATTCTTGTACATCTTGATAATGACTCCGAATAATCTTATGGTTTTGATAGAACAGATAGATCATTTGACTTCCTCACGGTCATAGTAACTAAAAAATGTTTGATAAAACTTTGTAATTCTGAGGAAACGAAATGTAAAAGACTGAGTAAATAAAAAAGGAATGCAAGCAATTTGTAAGGCTCTTTCTATATAGTTTAATCACTCCTTCAAACCCATTCATGTAACGTCAATTCTATATTGTTTGATCACTCCTTCAGTCCCGTTCACATGTATATATCTCCACTCCTCAGAGAGGCTACTGGTATTCCCTCCCGTACGTTCTCAACAAACGTCTGACATTGTTCGACGAGAAACATCCGCGCAACAGAACATCCCCGTTCCCTCTACGTGGACGTGTTGCCAAAGTTGTCATGATTCAGGTAAACCGCTGAAGTTACAAAGAATTGATGATTCAGATTAAACGATGAAGTTACAAAGAAATGATGATTTGAGAAAATGAAGGAATTGATGATTTGTTAAATGATGAATTATAACTGATAATCTAGTGTTATAAATGTGAATGATGTTGCAAAGGATTTAGAATTGTCATATCAGTGGTTCTAAAAACCCCTTAGTGAACGTTGCAAACAAAGTTTTGAGGATTTCTTGGTGGCTTAAAAAGAATGATTTGTTTGACAAACAGTAATTTGACTTACAAAATATAATATATTATTTTACTTCAAGTTTTCTCATAAGAAGCCAGCTTAGTCTGTTGATGACAAGATTGTCTAATCTTCACTCACCTAGAAGTTTGTTGAGACTTAAAACTAGAAACTAGTCTATATAATGATGCTGAAAATTCTGCAACACTTATCAATGAACTCCAAAAATCTCAAAAGCCTTTGAAACATTCGATATCTATTAGTAAAGTTTATGGCCTTTTTCAGTTTGTGCTGACTTTTCTCTTTAAATTGTTAAAAAGATTCAAAATGTGTGTCTACCTACGTCCTATGCATGGAAAGTCTTTTGTTAACTTTCACACACACCGTATGTCTGTATGACAGTTGTACTTTTGTACCGGTACTGTATAGAGGTGGAAAAAATGTAAAATGTTCTTTTCCTGACTTTCTTCTAGGAGAGACCATTTACAATGCTGAAGAGGGACCACATGCTCAAACGTGGCAATGCAAAGTATGAAGGTTTTGCTGTGGATTTGATACGCGAAGTGGCCCAAATGCTGGAATTTGATTACGAGATTTATCTGGTGAATGATGGAAAGTTTGGGAATAAGATGCCCAACGGCGAGTGGAACGGCATGATCGGAGAACTGCTAGCAGGGGTGAGTCATAGACATGGAATCACTGACTGATGATTGTTTTTATGTTGTTGTTACCAACAAGATTTTTTCTCCACACGGCACCAAGATAAATTACAGATTAGGTTGTTGAGTAAACAGACTGGCAGGATTTAACTGACCTTGTTACATCAATTTGGTCCTGTATCTCATTAATTTAAATATTATTTACTAAATTATTGATGGCTGCATGGATGCAAGCCTCGGACAGGTGCCATTAACAATTTGGCATTTGTTTGGAATCTGACCCCAAGCCACGGGTATAATTATCATTGTTATCTGATCTTTGTACATAATATTTTCTCTGTTTAATTTTTCTCATTATGTCGTAAATCACTATACATTCCTCAGAATGCCACAATGTCAGTTGCTCCCCTTTCCATCAACGCTCAAAGAGAAGAGGCGGTGGACTTCACCAAACCGTTCAAGACTCGTTACATCTCCGTGCTCATGCGTATTCCCCGCAGGGACAGGTCTTACTTCGAGTTCCTCAACCCTCTTTCTCCCATCGTCTGGATTTGCACATTAGGTGCCTTTGTTATCGTCAGTATAATTTTGTACACACTGGAGAGGATTGGGAGAGGAAAAGACAAAGGCGGGACGGATGCTTTACAAATAACTGTACGGGAGTCCTTCTGGTTTATATTTGGATCTCTTCTACAAGGTATGTAAGCAGCATGGTGTTGTCAGCCCATTTCAAAATCAACCACATCTATTTCTGGTATTTAACAGATGACGCTGTTATATATACAAAATATATCCTTTTTCATTATTTGCTCTCTTGACTTTCATTGAAAAGATAATGGTTATGATTTGAGCGCTCTCTTTTTCTTTAAATTTCTGAAAACTAAAAAAAATGACTTCAAGACCTTGTGGAATGACAATATTCTTCTGTCAACGAAGTCAGTCTCCACTATAGAGACTCTAGAAAAGGATTTGAATAAATATTAGATTAATGAAAACTATGAATGTAGCAGATTATTAATAAATGAGCTATTCATGTTGCAGAACAATAAATGAATGAGCTGTGAATGTAGAGGAATGGATGAATGAGCTATGAGTGTAGAAAAATCTAGTAGAATATAATAAATAAATGAGCTATGAATCTATAAGAATGTAAATAAATAAGCTATGAATATTGAAGAATGTAGATGAACTATAAATGTAGCAAAATATAAATGAATGAGCAATAAATGTAAAAGAATGTAGGTGAATGAGCTATGAATATTACTGTTTCAGAATACATAAATAATTGAGCTATGGATGTAGAAGAAGGGAGAAGATTTATGAATGGAGCAGAATATAATTAATGAGCAATGAATGTAGAAGAATATTGATGAATGAGCTATGAATGTAGCAGAATCTATATAAATGAGCTATGAATGTAGAGAAATATGCATGAATGAGCTTTGAATGTAGAAAAATGTAGTAGAATGTAAATAAATGAGCTATGATTGTAGAAGAGTGTAGATGAAAGAACTAAGAGCTGATCTCCCTACTCATCCAGGCAACACTGACTCCACCCCGTGCACCATCCCTGGACGTATACTGACCAGTGCTTGGTGGTTCTTCGCACTCATCCTCATCTCTTCCTACACGGCCAACTTGGCAGCTTTTCTCACCGTCAAGAAAATCAACACACCCATTAACGTAAGATGTGCTGTTCTGTTGAACCAGATTAAACTCCCTGCCTACCCACCATATTGTTTCCCACCGCTGTCTCCTGAACATCTACCATCTCAGTGTACATTTTAAAAACCCTGTGATACAAGTGACATGACATATAGGCCTATAGCTGTGGTAAGAACACCATAGGATCAATTCTGAATACTGAAACTGCAGGGGAGGAGGTAAAAGTAGGTAGTTCAAACAGAACTCTGACTGCAGCAGCATATGTGGGATGGGTAGGCAGTGAGTTAAAGAAGAACAATATGTGAGGTGTGCTGAAAAAACAAATTGCGTCTCACAATCCATGAATGGAGATGTTGGCTTAAAATTGATGAAGCAAATTTTTAAATGTTACACAGATGCCCTTTTCTTTTAGTTTAAAATGTCTTTTCTCATTTCATATAAGTTGTACAAGCCCAACCTATAAGTTTGATGTTTCTATTTAGCATGTATCTTTAGGGCTAAAATCAGAGAATTGTCTCTTTTTGTCAGCATACCTCACATAATATCTTCTTGAGATGATTTGCTACGTTTTTGTGTAGGGTTAAGTTTATGGTCACTCGTAGAAATTGCAGATTAAGGAGAAAAAAGGACTTTATACCACATGTATAAGTATGTTTCACCTTCACCCTAAACTGTTTCTAATCCTTTTTCTAGTGAGTACAAAGTACACTAGGATATAATGAGCAGCTTTTGTAGAATAATCTTGTAAAGTTCTGTTGAACCTGCTCTTGTGGCCACTTGTCCAAGACAGTCATCTGTGCAACTTCCTCAGTGGTATTTTTTTTTCAATATTAGAATGACACTTCTGTCCAAGACATTGACCTATCTGCCACAACTGCTTCTCTACTCAACAATGGGTGATCTTCTTGGACATAGACTCTATTTAACTGAACACATTCTTTGATATCAACTTAAAAGAAAGATGTTAGCTATCTGAAAATGTTTTTATTTACAACTCACACCTCACGTCATAATGTTATTCTAGGCCTAAATGACTTTCTGCTACATGCTGTTCTCCCTACATTTCAGTCAGTGACAGATCTAGCACAGCAGACAAAAATCAAGTACGGCACCGTCAAAGATAGTGGAGTAATGTCGTTCTTCAAGAACACGAACATCGAGCACTTCACCAAGATGTGGGCACAGATGTCCGAGCTCGACCCGGACTCTATGGTGGACAACACTACAGAAGGATTTAAAAAGGTTGGTCATTTTTTAATTTTGTTTTGGCTGTTCTGTTAGCTCAGTTGGTATGATGCTAGACTACCGACCAACTTTTGGCTATGGTTCAAATCCCAGACTGGGTTGCTTTGTGGGGTTTTCAAGGCTCTCAACCTATTTAGCTTGGTCCTGTCAGAGACAGATGGTAAGCTCAGAGTTTCCGTCTCTTAATAAGTATCCTAATAGTGTTGATAGGGGTGTAAGACACACGCATACCAGAGTCTTGTGGCTGTGTTGAGCCTATGCCACCATGCATTGCGTGAAAAAGAATGAAAGACAAAAATAAGTTTGAAAGTGGATTTATAAAGTTTTAGTAGAGGTTTAACGGCGCTCGCAACTGCATAAGGTCATATGAGTTCGCTGGACCTACCATAAGATCAGGGGTGTGGCTGAAAGACAGCAGTAAGAAGGATCCAAGAAGTAGCAGTAGAAATACTTCGAAAGAGTCAGGAGCCCAGAGGAGGGGCAAAGGAGATAAAGGGTTGGGGGCAGAAAGTTGAGACAAAAGCAGACGACGGATTATTGTTAGAAAGCAGGAAAGAATGTGAATGGAGAACATTTTAGAAAAGAAAATTTTCCAGATTTGAACCCGGGACCTATTGAATGAGAGGCAAACACCTTAGCTTCAAGACAGTGAAAGCCCCCTACTATAGGTCTAACAGGAACAGAAAAAAGCGAGCTGTAATTGTTATGATGTGTGAAGATATGTCGGGATTATACTTGTACCTCATTTTTATTCTTGTGATCTATTTTTTTTCCTCTATCCTTTAGGTCAAAGATGAAGACTATGCCTTTTTCTGGGACACAACAGTCAACAAGTACCAGACAATCATGGACTGTAACATGATGGAAATCGGCCCGGCCTTCGACCCCAAAGGTTTCGGTATCGGCGTTCCCCCTGGTGCCACCTACAGGGAGGAGCTGTCCATGGCCATCTTACAGCTCAGTGACAGAGGACGGCTGCACGAGATAGAGACAAAGTCAGTTCTGTTTGTTTTGTTTTGTTTTGTTTTATTTTTTCGGTTTTGTTTTTTTTGTTTCTGTAAATGTTGTACGGCATTTACAACATAATAAGGTTATATAAGTGCTCAAGATTAGAGATGTTACAAGAGAGTGACAAAGATTTACAAGAAGGAGGAGATATAAGGATGACAGATTATTTACCTGCATTGAGTGCAATTGTAAATATAGAGTCGGAGCGGTTTGCCAAATAAATCAAACGTTCCTTGGGACAAAAGGTGAATGTTGGCCCAAGGGAAACAACCCGTGATATATTCAGGACCGATGTCCCTTTGGGTATAAATGGAATATCTTTCACACACCCCCACCCCCACCCTTTTCAGCAGCTACTTTACTGAACACAACACATAACAGAATAGCTTAACAGGGATATTAGGTTCAAAACTTTAAACTGAAGAGAAGAGAAAATCATCAAAATAAAAGGCTTCTGCAATTTTTTTTCCCCTCTCATCTATCTGCTCTCATCAGACAGTCAGATTAACAACAACAAAATGAGATAAAGCTAGAGTATTGAAGTAAGTCTTTTTATCTCCATATCATTTTGTCTCGACAGACAATTGGATTCACCACAACAAAACGAGATAAAACTTGAGTATTGATCAGTATGTTCTGTTATCTCCACAATTTGTCTCATCACAGTTAGCACGATCACATCAAAACAAGACAAAGCTCTAGTATTGAAGTACGTTTTTTAGTTTTAGTATTAGAAGAGTTTTTACAAAAATAACTGATCACACGAGAGTGACAAACAACATACAAAAGAAGTAGAGGAAATATGACAATAGCAAGGGTTAGAAAAGAAAAAGCAGCAGTTCCCTGTTGCAGTTTAGGCACCGTTATGAGCTTGACATTGATGAATCAGCCCATTTACAATTCTACTGTGCATAAGATTAATAAGAACAAATTAATGTCCCCCTTTGGGAATGGCCTAAGACACTTCAGTCAGTAGGGGGGGGGGGGCTTAAGTAGATGTCTTTATCTCCCTATCTTATAAATCCAGAACTTTTCCCCAATGTGTCCTTTGTGTGACTATACACAAAAGACTGTGGGTCATCACCGGTTTCACTGCACAGCCCTAAATGACATCAGAACCGCACTTTTCCCTTCAAGAACTAACATTGACAACACACTCTGTGGAACATTACAGCAACTGCAGCAAACCTGCACTTATCACTACAAGGCAGCAGTCTGCTGCCTTCTCACTATGTGACTACCCCTCAGAGACAGTGGAACATCATCTGTTCTTGTGTAGAAAACTAACCGACTTGAGAGGATGTTTTCTTCCCAAGCTACCCCACATATCTAACTGCCTCTACTCCTCAAGACAAGAATTAGAACAGAAATGCAGCTATTACAGAATGGCATCATACAGAAGAGTTAACGTAACGCTCAGATGCATCTGGATTGCTATCAACAACAACAACAACAACATCACTACATGGCATTGGACAGAAGGGCAAGAGCCCAACTGTTGCTGGATCAATAACAACATCTCCACATCTTGTCTCCTCAGATGGTGGGACAGCCAGTGTCCGGAAATCTCCAAGGTGTCGACAGACGAGACGTCGGAGCTCCAGATAGAGAATGTCGCAGGTGTTTTCTTCATCCTAGTGGGGGGTATCATAGTCGCTGCCATTGTGTGCCTGGGCGAGTACTTCGCCAACGCCTTGATCAACGCCTCCAAGATGGTGAGTGTTGTGGATGGGTCGCTGCTTTGTGTCTTTTGTTGCTCTTGCTCCTTTAAGAATCAGGGATGCCGTTTTTCCGTTATTTCCGGGATTTTTTATTTTATTTTGAGCATTGTCCGTCCTTAACACTTTTGGGTCACTTGGCGCAATAATGTGAAGGTGAAAATTATCCATTCTGGTCATCTGGCGCAGTTCTGTGCCAATCCTGAGAACTCCGTTACAGTAACTCTCCTGCTGGGTGACCAGATTGGGCATTTTGTACTGCTGGCAGTATGACTGCAAAGTGCTAAATCCATTTTCGGTTCATTGGATCCATTCTCTGTTAACGACACAAATATGGTGGGCTGGAAGCCGATTTTCCGTTTTGTTCCATATACGAATGGAGTGGCAGGAGGAACCAAATTATTAACCAACGGAAGTACACTGGCTGAATCAAAATGCACAGGATCAACTAGATTTTAAGTCTGATTTCAAATGCAATCTAGATATCTAGATCTAGATCTAGACCAGGCCTTGCCTTGCGCACTCAGTCTCGACAAAATGTTCAATTATTTTTACAAATGTCCAGTGGCATCCCTGAGGAATGATAACTAAAGGCGTCATTATTTAACGGTTGACACTCATGTGAGAAGGAAAATCTTGTATGATGAGTGTTTTTCTTAGAAATGGTGAATATTACGTGTTCCGATATGGGAAAAAAGTGGCTTTTACTTACTCACAATTGCTATGAATTTGTGTATTTCTGCACTTCTTTTTCTATTACCACAACGTGTCTGTTGAACTGACCTGTCTTTTATTTTCTCTCTCATTTGGTTAAAATCTGTTGCACATTTTATTTGCTGGAAGTTGCTTGCACCTGTGGAAAACATTACGCCTGGTGGTTTCTGGTGTATTCATAATCTTATTGCTTGTTATCATCTGCTTGCAAACAGTAAGTGAAGATTGCATTTTAAAAAGTAATTGCATTGTTCTATAGCTTATTTTATATCACTATACACTGTTATAAGAGCTCCAAGCCAGAGGCATGGTAATGGAATGTGTTGCCTGAATCAGTCAAAGACATAATACTTATTATGTAGAGCTATTTCATAAATGCTGTTTAAAGTGATATGGGTGTGCATGTGTATATATATATATATGCTTGAAGAATACTATTTCCTCGTTCCCACAACGTGTCTTTTCAACTGTTCTCTCTTTTCTCTTTCGCTTTATTTTACGTTTCAGTTTTCTAATTTTTCCTTGTTCCTTCTCGCCTCTCCTTTCTCTGGGAACATCCCCCCCCCCACCCCCTTCCCCAACATATCATCAACTGTTGCCTGCACTTTCAGCTTTTGTATTATGATGATAACCTTTGTCTTGCCTCCCAGACAAGGAGTGGTCAAACGATGAACGATAGAACCAGGCCCAAGAATGTTTCTAGCACGCTCCATGATCCAGCTGAGAAAGACAGCTTTATATGAGACTCGTTTCTGTCGCTGCATGAGGCATGCATTGGTAACTGTTTATTCACAATGTTGCACTTATCAGTACGGAAAGAAAATTATTACAATACATAACCTAATATATATAATAATCATTTTTTGTATATATTTATATATATATGTTACATATTTATATAATTTATTTCAAAATCATTTTTTTACTTTCTTTGAAGGTTTGAGATGAGCCTACCAATATCATTTTTATTTTCTTCCCGTTTTGAGCTCTGATACTGTAGGACATGGCTATAGCAGGACTTTTAGTTCCAGAAAAAAAAATCCAGCTGTAGGTAAGTTCCTACTATAGAAATGCCAAGGAGAATTAAAGAAAAATCACACACTGCACGCTCCCCTCTTACTTTACTGTCTTTTAGGCCTAGCCTAGGCCTATGTCACATCACTTATGGAGTGACTCATGTAACACGTCTCTCTGCCCCATTTCTCTCAGCTGCCTGCCCCACCTCACTCATCACTGAACTGGCCAGTCACAGCGCAATACTCCTGACTGCCTGTTTGGAGCTCACCTACAGCCTCCCTGCCCCCCCCCCCCCCCACCTAGTAGCTAGAGCTCGCTCTATGTCTCCCGCTGTATCCAAGTTCGGGCCTTTCCTTGCCCTGTTAAACCCGAGCAGAGTTAATCAAATTTACATAGACCAGTAAGGTCCCGCTGTAGGGATGGTCCCGCTGCCACAGATGCCGCTATAGTCATGTTCTACTGTATTAATTTTTTTTTTCTTTTAACATTGTGTGTTTTCTTATACAGTCCACTTACAGCCTTACCTCCCGGGGTGGTGCTACTGACTGAAGTGTCTTTAGACCATTCCCAAAGGGGGAACATTAACATGTTCTTATGCACAGTAGATTTGTAAATGGGCTGATTTATCAATGTCATGCTCATAGCTGTGCCTGAACTGCAACAAGGAACTGCTGCTTTTTCTTTCTTAATCTTTACTATCGTCATTTTCCTCTACTTCTTTTGTATGTTAGTCACACTCTTGAGACCCACTATTTCTGGGGTGCCTTGATAGTTGAAGCAGACTTTGTGCTGTTGAAGCTGAAGAGGTGAGCTGAGTAAGACTGATTCCCTGTAAGAACTTCTCTGTTGACATCCACCCCCTTGGCGCTCATATGACCTTATGCAGTTGCGAGTGCTGTAAAAACTCTACTAAAAGTAAAACTAAAACTTACAGCCATAATTTAACAGCGGGCAGTCTAATGCTCCTAAAGCATGTTGTCAGAGGTAGGCCTACTAAAATCTCTGCCTTTTTCTCTACCAGTTCACTTTAAGAGGATACATGCAAATCATGTTTCCAAACTGAGATCAGGTTCCCAAACTGAGAAGATTGAAGATCTGCATTTCAGATACACTTAGTTAAGATGGAAATCCAGCCTTGTCTCTTACCATCAAAGAACAAGTAACCTTTTCTATCTGTTAACTATTCTTAATTTAGGAGCATTCTTCATAGTTTATCATTTTTTAAGTGCTAGGATAATTTATTTACTCATCTTGTATCTGTATGTTCCTCTTCAAACAAACAATCTTTTTACCATCAACATTTTCACATTGTTTTTCTGTGAGCTACTCTCAAAATGAATAATTGGTATCCTACTTGTATTTCTGTTTCAATTGTTTGTTCTCTCTCTCTCTGTGTGTTTACAGGATAAAAGAAAAAAGAGTGAAGGGAAAGATGGCCGGTCAGAAAACGGAGGGGATGTGTTTCTCTGAGTTTTCCTGATGTCATTAAACGAACAAAAGCACTGACAAAACATTGTTTTGCCACTTGTAAATATGGGAAGAGAAATTTCCAAGCTCTGTTGGGGATACATTTATGTTATGAGCACCAAAGTGGAAGAGGAATGAGAATGCAACAATTAAGACATAACTATCACTCATATTGTTTCCCTCAGTACATTTTAAAAATATTTCTTTTTAACGTCTTTGAATGTTTGGAAGCATTCCAGATTGATTTTTTATTCCATGTTATTTTTAAGGTTGTTTAAATCAAACAAATTGCATGATTCGTTTCCCTCTATCTGTCCCCTAAAATTCACTTGAATTTTTTGTTGGGTTCTTTTTTTGTTTAAAGGGGGAAAAGAAAGTATTGCCCCATATCTTCACACATTATGACGGTCAGAGCCCACTGTTTCATGATCCTGTAAGATATAGCCATCTCTACTGTGATACTGTGGTATACACTGAGGCAAGCACAGTAAAATGGGTGATCTTCTCCTGACTTTCAGCAATCAAACGGAGATCTTCTCCTGAAAGTGTTAGGGTAAAATTTTAGGCCCAAAGAAAATCATGAAAAAATGTGTAAAATTATTATTTCTAGAAATAATAGTGTGCTATTTTACATCTGTTTTCTTGAAATAAAGTCTTGTTTATTTTTCAACTGATTCTTAAATCCAATATTTTCTTTTTTTAAATTCTTTTTTTTAACCAATCTGCCCCAGATTTTACCACAAAAATGATTTGGACTATGAAAATTATGAAAATCCAAATGACATTCCTAAACTTAGATGCTAAGGAATTTTAAATCTAAAGTGCTTTAGACAAGTGGATAGATCAAGTTACTGTTATCAGCGTATCACACCTTGAACTTACGTAGTAGTTCCCTGAGGATGTGATATACAGGGTGATCCAAAAAAAAACTTTACAACTTGTTTTGTAAATATCTTCCCCCATACTAAAGTCTTGCGTTTCAGATTTGAACATAACGTTTGGAAGCCAAAAGGAATTTTTCTGATATGTATTTTAGATAAGTCCATTGAATGGTTTTGCTCTATATAGCGCATTAAAAAAACAACCCATTTTCAATCTTGTCGCCATTTTCATAGCATGACGCACCAGTTCGCATTAGGCCTACCTCTAAAAGTAGCAACAATCGCGCCATATTGCAAGCTACAGCAGTCTAACAAGTCAACAGAAGTCTGCAGATATTATTTTTCCCAAATTTTGTTTGACTGTTGAGATCATGGCTACGTTTAGTAAAGAGCAGAAAGCTTTTTGTATTGAACATTACCTCCCCACAAACTTACCATCCCTGACACTTCGTAAGTTCTGCGCACGGTATGGAGAGAATGCTTAGGTGCCCTCAAAACCTTTGGCGTCATGAGTTGAGAAGTTCCGTCAGTTTGGATCTATAGCAAATCAGAACTAAAAAGTTCTTTAAAACAAGACCACTTCAGGTCGAACACGCACCATGCACAACCCTTTAAACGTCACCACCAGAGTGCAGATTTCAGTAGCCGAGTCCCATGAGACGACTGTCCATAGACGATCTGCAGCCAGGACTTTCCTACACATCAACAGTCTGCATTCTCTTGGCAGATCTTGACCTACGACTATAATACCATGTTCATCTGTGCTAGGCCGAGATGACATGGATCAGAGCATGGCGATGTGTTCATGATTCCTCGATTGTATTGTAAAGAGGAATCATTTCCTCGATGACTTTTGGTTTAGTGCAAAGCCCATTTTCACCCTACGGGATATGTTAACTCCAAAAATGCTGTCTATTGGGCACCCCACTCTATTGTCTCTAGAAGCCACTTCTTAGTGAACATGTAGTGTCAGTGTATGTGGCTTTAAAGACTCATGGTTTAACATGTCGTTGTGTTAGGGCGCCACTGAACATTTCGAACGACGCGTTCATTAGGTTTTTAAAACTCTGTAAACAAAATTAAATATTGTTTAGATGTCACAGGGATGGAAAATTAATGTCAGAGAAAAAATAAAGAAAACGGTCAGCTAATCTTTTCACGACTTCCTTTACAAGATTTTTAAACATTGGTGAACTTTGTGTTTTTGGGTTCTTTTTATTTTAACTGTTTCCGTTTCCAAAACACGTTTCTTCTTCATGGATTTTATATCAAACAATTTCCTTTTGAATGAATTAAATCTATGTCTGTTCCAAATTACAGCGTTCTAGAACAATTTTTGCGCGAGATATTCAGAAAAAAAGTTGTACTTTTTTTTTGATCACCCTGTATGTGGATGGCTCTGGCTCAAGTCCTCAACGAGGCGTTCTTGAACTTTTGCTGTAGTTTAGGTCCGGTCGAGATGAACGTTTAAACTCAGAGATCTCACCTCTGTAAACCCTTTGCAGTGTTGAAATGTGTGTTAAATCCCTACATTTGCCCCTTGTCAGAGTGTGTGGCATAGTTTTATTTCTCTGTCTCTTTTATGACTCTGTTGTTATCATCATTATTATTTTTATTATTATTATTATTATTATTATCAAACATTCACTGAAAATAAATAAAATCATAAGTTAGTTTGCTCAGTATATTATTGTTTCCTTGAACTTGAAGGCTGTGAAGCAATACAATAAATATGAAATGTTCACAATGTTATTTCTACAATAAGAAATGAAATGTGCGGTGTGTCAGTCGTGGATGTGTCGATGGATGCGCCCTCCCCCCCCCCCCTCCCACCCCCGTCCCCCCAAACTAAAATTTAATAAATGTTTCCCGGATGTTAGTTGATCCACTTTGTTGAGGGTTTTTCTTGTTTCTCCTAAAGTTGTTTGAGATGATTTCATAGGGATATTTTAAATATATTCTGCAGAATCTCATGGTTGTGTTTTTATGGATGTGTACAGAAATATATCTCCAGTTTGATAACACATTTTTCTATCATTGTAAGCGTGTAATTATGTCATGATCTCTGCTGCAAAAGGCGATCACATGCTCTTGTTCTATGGTTGTTGTACATGGTTTTATATTATGTTATGTATATATGAACAGTTTCACAACATAAAGTGACATATCCATTTTTCTAGTTTTGAGAAAATTGAAGCTTTCTGTTCTTCCCCCGTTTACTGTAATAATCTAGAACAACTTTGGTTTTAGAGTAGACATTGTGTAAGGCTTAGTTGATATCTCCTAATGAATTAAATCTATGTTGGATTCTTATCGTTTATATCGATGTGATCCGTACACATTTTTGACAAAACGTGAAATACCCGCATTATTAACTATATAGATCTAGAAGGGAAAGAACCGCCAACAAACT